TGTGTGTGTGTGTGTGTGTGTGTGTGTGTGTGTGTGTGTGTGTGTGTGTGTGTGTGTGTGTGTGTGTGTGTGTGTGTGTGTGTGTGTTTAGCCATCTGCGAGATCCTGGATAGCACTGCAGCGGTGATAAATCTCTCACAGGATTGACACACATACGTGTCACGTTCTGACACTTAACACACCGCCCAGCCTCCTGTTGTTATGCAGCCACAGTTTGCATGCGTGTGTGTGTGTGCGATGCTTGTTGAGCTGATGCAACAAGCTCCAAGTCTAATCTGACCCTGCTGTCCTATTATTTGTGCATGCGTATGTATGCGTTCGAGTTCAAACACCGTTTAAGCTGTATGTTCTGTATCAGTCGATATGCACACGATGTGCGTGTATTTGATCCGTTTATCCGTTTTACTTCTAAAGTGATCGTCAATAGGTTGCAGAATCGTAGCAAACAAATACACACATATCCAAACGGTGTCTGTTTAGAGAAGCATCTGCTGATAAGTATGTACTCCAGGAATTACTTGACAATGAAGTGTTCTAATTAGACGTCTTTGCCTCGTAGCATTTCATCTCCTGCCTCTCTCAGCAGTTTCCTACATTTACCACGCCGCTTTTCAACGACCGATAAACCCATAAATCTCAACAAGGTCAGAGCTGTGTGTGTAAAGTTACCATTGAGGGTCAATAGCTGCTCTGAGTGTGTTATGGCTCCTGTTTGAGCAGCATGTGCCGTTTTATTTGTCGACGGAAAGGTCGAAACGATGAGGTTAAAGTGAAGTGCAACAGTTTGTATACTGACGGGGTTTTGGCGGCACCCTGCTGGGCTGGTGGGCGGGTGGACACCCAAGTTTGTGATTGCGGTAACTTAAGAACGAGACGACTTGCTAACATTCTGGGACAAGTTCAAATCCTGGCGAGCTTGACCTCACAATCAGAGGTCAACTGCTAGGATTTTCACATTTATACTACATGTGCATCTACCAAGAGGCTGATGGCTAGTATTATTATTAATATTAGTATTATTATTTTCTTTGATTAGTTGCTAACCCCTTATTTCCTGCGTATGTTTTAAGGCAAGAGAAACAAAATACAGATTCTTCATCCATCCATTCTCTTCCACTTATCAGAGTTATAAATTAGTCAAACAAATAAAGGAAATTCGTCCAAATTCGGTGTGAATGGCCAGAGTTGTCCCAGCAGCCTGCTGATGTATTTTGGAAAAAATTTGGGGACTTTGAAATGTTCTTTTTATAAATTCTACGGCTTTTCCTGCTGACAAAGACCTCCCCCACAGCCATTTAGTTAAGTAATTGAAGATAAATTATGTGAATTTCAGGAGCGGGACCACGCCTCCAAACACGCCTCTTCCGGGTCTTGTCCATATATGACACCCCCAGTTCTACAAGCTGTTTGTTCTCATTTTCGTGCCCCACTCTAGTTCCCCCTTTTTTCAGTTCTTTCACTTCTTCACTTCTCATTAGTACATGAGCCCAGGAGCCGACACCAGTCCCCATCGAGGCCTTCCCCAAACCACAGCTCAATTCTTGATTAAGCCATTCGCCTTTACCTGCTAAAAACGCTGCCAAACCTAAAATGAGGACATGGGCAAAGTCCCTGTTTTTCACTATTAAAGAAACTCTTTCTGTAATTTTACACATTTGTCATGTAGAAAAACTGAGACTTGTTGAAATTTGTCTTATCTTCTATTAAAACATCTCAGGGTTTAAATGTGTTGTTAAACTTCTTTACACTGACAAAAAGGGGGGTTTCGCTATCATATCATAAATCATAAATAGAAATTTACATAAATAAATTGCACAAAACATTTTTAAGCAATAAATTGAAAAAGAAAATCCTGGATGTAGCAAATACGATACAAACTAAAACTTGTGTATGCAAATTAATATTTAATTAATTTTTAAATGTTTTTTAATTCTATTGTAATTTTTAAAAAATCATTTTCTAGCAGTTGTTTCATGATTCAGGTTATAAAGGTTTAAAATATGAAACATTCGCACAAATCTCACGTGTCCGGTGTTTAAAGGACTCCTGGAATAAGCAGAGCCCCCTGGTGGCTGGTAGAAAAACATATTGGCCAATCAGAAGCTGCACACGCACTGAGAACGGCAGATGTTTGCATATTTATAGAGTCTAGACTTCATAAAAAGCAGATCATCTTTATTTAATGAAGAACTCCAGCAGACGCACGCTGTCATTCAGCCCAGAGCATGTGACGTGTGATGTAATGGTGTAGTGGGTATGATAAATGGGAAGTGATTAGATGCATTTTATCTGTGAGCAGTGACACAAGATTGATTAACTCCACTGTAGGAAGCTAAAAAAAAAAAAGAGGAAAATTATTATTTTCTGATGATTATCTGTTTTTATTTTTCACTCGGATTGTCCGTAATTTTCCTTAAACTAGATTTTAAAAAGTTTATTTTCCAGGTTGATGTTTTCTTTGGTCACTCCATCAGACTGAAGCTTGAATTAATTGGCATTAAAAATCTGCTAAACTTGTGCTAATTTTTTCTAAGAGCCCTAACAAGAGATTAGGCTCTTTTTCTCTTAATGCCACAAATCCTGGCTTTGATTCATGCGTTTAAAAAAAAAAATCGAGGGTATGAAGGAATTAGTGGCTGAAACCGGCTGTTTTGGGGGATTATGATGTCAAACACCAGTGTTTGTGACTCTGCCGGCTTAATCGCCGTGTTGTTGTTTTTCATTCTGTTTGCTTATCATAATTTAATGCTGTCCTCCTTCTCTGTTTCCAGTTTCTCTGCAGGACATCAACATGAGAAAGGCCTTTAAGAGCAGTACCATTCAGGACCAGCAGGTGGTGTCGAGGACCTCTGTGCCCAACCCTGTGGTGGAGATGTACCACCGCTGCGACAAACCTCCACCACTTAATATTCTCACCCCCTATAGGTAAGTCTTTTAGCCTCTCTGCCAGTATTGATAATTTACCAAGCTCCGCTGTTTTTTTTTTCTTAGTTTCACTTCCTCCTCCTCGCAGGGATGACAAGAAGGACGCCCTGAAGTTTTACACCGACCCCTCCTACTTCTTCAACCTGTGGAAGGAAAAGATGCTGCAGGCCACTGAGGACAAGCGCAAAGAGAAGAGACGGCAGAAGGTACGATGTGTGCGCCGAACGAGTGTTTGTGAGCGTGCGCTGTATGTTTGGGTGTACGTCACCGTGGGTCTAGAAACGGTTAAAGAAATTCATCTTCTGCTTTATTTTGCGAATTTTTATTTTCCTGCCCGGTGGTGCCATCTATGCTGTTATTTCAGTTTCATTTCTCTCTGACTGTACTCTCCATTTAGCTTTGCTTGGTTGTTTAATCGGCTATCGATGCAGCAGCAGCTGAGCAGACCGGTTATCCAGAGACAACAACGTGATCGAGGGAGAACTTATACGAACGTCGTATTTGGCTGTAGTTACATACAGTGTAAAACTCTTGAGACACCACTCATTGCTTTATATTTTTCTTCCAAGCAGCCAGACCTTTAAGTGCTCTTGAGTAATAGTTCTCCAGGCTTTCTGAAGGTCTTTCAGAGTTCTTCTTTGGACATTGTCTGCTTTTTCACTCATTTTCAGTCCAGACGTGGAACCTGACCATTTTTAGAGGATTTTGTTTTGTTTGTTAGACCACTGAACCCTGACCTATGAATCATTCAAGAACAGAAAAGGCACCTAACTCAAAAAGTGTTTTAGCATTAATCAGCAAGACCGTGGCTAATAGCTGTTTCACCTCGTCCTCCCATATTTCAACATGGTGTGCAGTGTGTCCCTTAAAAAGTTTGAGGAAACTTGACAAGTGGAAAGAAGAAGAAGAAGTGGCGAGTCTAAAAATATATATCTATAGCAGATGAACAGCGTCTGAAGCTGTGTCCCAAACCTAGGCCGCATCCTTCGGAGGACCCGGCCTTCGCGGTCTACGTGGGCCGGGTCCTTCAAAGACCGAGAAGGCCAGAAGTGCGAGGCTGTGAAATGGGACGGTCTAGCCTTCAAATCTGCGTCACCGCTGTCTCGGTGGAGTCCAGTAAACTCAGCTGTCTGCTCCTTGCTATCTAAAATATAACAGGACATGACCGTCTCACACTTCTGTTTAATCAGTTTTCTGTTTGACGTTTATTCAGCTGTGTGAAAACCACCCGAGGGATTAATCAAGTTTTATTTAATATAATCTAATAACTTTAATCTCAACCAAAACGATTTACTCCCCAACAAGTAAAACACTGAAAAAGCTAAACAATAAAGTTTTTAAGTTATCTGAGTGACTTATATATCATGTTTAACCTGAGTAGTGAAAGACGGCGGGGCTCTGAAAGCGATGAAGCCAGGAGTCCGCTGTTCTCGCCGGCTCGAGTGACCATTGAACCCCCCC